TCATAATGTCATCCTTGAAAGGAGCAAAGTGCATGGTCAAGCCATGCACTTTGCTCCCTGCAAGTGTTACCTCTGAGGGGGGAAAGAGGTGTGGTCTAGCCATGCATTCTGTTCCCCCTCAGGGGGAGAGTCAGACTTGGAAAGAGGCAGCATGCTTGGTCAAGCCATGCATGCTACCCCTCTCCAAGTCATCAACACAAGATAGAGAGAGCATGCATGGTCAGGCCATGCATGCTACCTCTCTTGCCACCAATCCAAAGCAGAGAACACACATGGTCAAGCCAAGCATGTTCTCCATCTCCACAAACACATTTTGGAGACTGTATGCATGGCTTGGCCATGCATACAGTCTCCCAGGATAGCCCCCCACCCCACCCAAGATTGGGTGGGGTGGAAGTTGATGTCAGCAAGAGGTGTGTCATACCTACAAAAATGTCAGTGGTGGTTGAAGGAAGAAGAGTGTGTTTGCTTCCGTGGACACGTCAAAAAAGTTAAGGCCCTAGGACCCTGAGTTCTGGGTCCATTTGCTCCTGTAAGGCCATCATCATGAGAAGGCTTTTAAAAGGCAGGCACAAAGGCCTTGGTCTTTGCACATCTTGATTAACTACCACTACCTGCTAAACTTAACGATGGCTTCCACAATCACCACATCCAGTATCCTGTGCTGCAGAGCAGGTGAGGGACAAAGCATGGCCAAGGCACGGAGGAAAGCAGGGAAGAGCCCCCACTTTCCACCTGGCACCAGAACAGGGGGCAACCAGGATACACAGCTGAAGTGGGCTGTTCTTGACGTGTATGCAATGATAGATGAAGAGGAAGGCTATACCAGTGTAAGTTCCTTTATCCTCTTCATGTGGAACATGGGAATCCTAAAGTTAACACAGGATTGGACCAAGGACAAGGAGATCATGGTGGGACTGATGGACCCAATGAAGAGGATCCACACCATGCCTTTGGAGGAAGTGTAAGTGAGATTTAATATTACTTCAAGGCATTGCTGATATGGTACAGGCTTGGGAAACCTGGGATGGGTGATGGGTTCCTTCATGGGCTCATTGAAGAAATGGTGGCAAATGGAGAATTTCTGGAAGAGGAGTTCAGAATGAATAGGAGGCTTAAGAACAAACAGTTTGAAGTGGCCGGGATCCATGGTTGGGCAGCAGATGAAGTAACAGGAGTAAGAGGGTTATCTTTGTATCATGTTCCTATTAACTCAAAATTACTTAGGAACCAATGTATGTCATCACTCGGAAAGGTGAAACGTTAGCCCATGATGTGAGGGACTGCCTGAATGAAAACTGGTTTCTGGTTTATGCTCAGCCTACGAGTAATGAGGAGCCTGCAGCAGGGAGCATTATGCACCATCTGTGGCATATGCCTCAGTTGGAATTGGCATGAGTACCTGATTGATTGTCTCTGTCCAGGTTGATGCTGAAAGGAGTTCAGGAGAGGGTGTCAGTGCCTCTTGTGGGAATTTTGGTGCGGAATTCCCAATGCAGAACGACCACCAAAAGAAAAGGAAGTGATGGCATGGGACCCCCAGTCGTCTTTTCTGAGCAGAGACAGAGAGATGATGGTGCATCTCACATGGGAACAGCTGATGTCCTCATCTTCCCTGGTATGTGATGTGCTGTAATCCCGCAGCATGACAAACTGACATCCTTCCAGTTGTGTGGAGTGTGCCGGAATATTTGCCTGTCATGCATGACCCCATGCATTGAGTGTGGCAAGGACTTCTGCATTAACTCCTCTCATGGGGAAGGTTGTGCAAAAATTGGATGGACAGATATTGAGAAACTGGGAGGCATCCAATGTGTGCCCTGTTATGCAGCAAGAAAAGAAGTTCAGCCTGTGAGTTTTTTTTTGTGGATTGAGTGTAATGTACTAAGGAGAATAAGTACAAAATTTGGGGGAGTTCAGAGGCTTGGGCAAGGGGGTCTGCTAAGCCATGGCCTATCATGGCACTCTTTGTTCATTGGAAGGAGGAGGACAGATTCAGCATCAGCACCTTCTCATCTCAAGCTGCCAAAGCATGTCTAGGGGGGATGTTCCTGAACAATAGAAAGGTGCATCCGCATAGGTATTGAGATGTTTGACTCATGGTGAACAGATGGAAATGTTCAACTGGGTCAACATCAAATTATCCTACCTGGGAATGAGGTGGCAGGTGGGAAACAGCCCAGCCAAAGCAGTGATCTCCATGGAGACAACTCAATTGCTCAAGGAGGACATTGCAAATTGTCTGGCAGGCATGAAGACAAGGTAGAGTAGTGTCTTGTTGGAAGATGAAAAATATATTGATGGATTACTAGGCACGGAGAAGACTTCCACATTCTGTGCATTGTGGATACTCATTCAGATATGAAGGAAGGCAACTTGCAGCTACAGTTACCCAGTATGGATGGAGAATGAGGCAATCTGATGGATGTAAGTATGGGGAGAGCTACTGATGGGATGGAACTAATCAATGGAATAGTTGACAACCTTCCTCTTCAGGGACCTGATGCCTTGTTTGGAGTGCAAGAGCACATGTTGCATGTTGCTTGCCTGCGCAGCCATGGTGACAAAGGGAGGGGGGAAAATCAAGTGGGCTGGGTCAGGAATTTGAGGAATTGTGAGTTGTATGGGCTGACTTCAGCTCAGGCACCTTTGGCACGATATCATTGCATTCACCATGCCAAACCTCAAACCCCACTGTTTGACCAAGCATTTCCTCCTCCTGTTCCTCTGCCATCACTTCCTTGACCACAGAACCTTCAAGGACGCTGTCATGTGTGCTTATGACAAGGAACTGTGCATTGAGCATGATTACGATCTCTACTGGTTTGGGGAAGACAAAACATTGTGAATCACAACTGGCACTCCTCAGAAGAATTGGAATGGAAATCCACTCAATCAATTCTGTCCCACCTGCCATTGGATCATGCAATGGAAGGGAGCTAGAAAAGGGAAGGAAGCTAAATGTGGTCAACAATTCCACTGTACAAGGAAGAACTGCAAGAAGGGGCAAGTTACACTGAAATTCCAGAATGGACAGAATGGGGTTTGGGCAGCTTATCCAAACCCCTGGGATGAGAAATGGCCTGTACTCAAAATTGAAGTCAACTTCAATGAAAAACAGCCCTGCCTTCAGCCTCAGCATACTCATAACATCAGGTGGATTGTGGAGGGCAAGGAGGTGGAGGAAGATGATGGGGATGCTTCATCACTTTCACCACCTCCTGAGTCCCCTGTTCAAGATACTGCTCAGATTGAGGAAGAGCCTTCAAAAGAGGACAAAGCACCACACAGCCTATTGCCGGCAAACTCTGGGGAGACCAAATACAACCCTGATCGAGCGACACCAGATGCTGATGCCATGGTGGTCAACCTGGTGACTGTGGACTTGACGGAGCCAAGAGGGTCTAGCAGTGCTAAACACTCAAGCACTGCTACCCAAAAGAATCCTGCAGGAGGTTGAGGGAAGGGGAAGGGGAAGGGGAAGACTGGTTCAAAGAAAGGGAAGGGGTGGTTGGAAGGACCAGGACAATGTGAGGGGGTGAAGAGATTGCCCAGAGCAAAATTGATGGCACCAGGATTGAAGGCATATCTCCATAGCAAGAAGACTGGCAGTGTGGAGAAGTAGGGAACTAGCTTACATGTTTTTTGGATGCCTTGAATTGATATGCTTATGTTGTTGCCCATGCATTTATGGAATGATAGGATTAGAATGGTGAAATATTGAAGAAGATGTAAATGTTTGCAGATGAGAAGGTGAAAAAATGTGCTACCATGTAAATACAGTAGATATTGTAACAGGTAGTTCAAAAAGTTGATATTATGTCTAAGTAGATTGTATATTATGTCGAGGAAAAGCTTTGTTGGAGTTCTGGTTCCTAAGCAACAGATAACAAGCACACGGATGCAAAAAATAAAATTAAAGTGGAGCTTAAACTGGATTACTAATTAAAAATAAAATAATAATTGGGAGGCTGGGTCTCGCTGGAAGGATGGGTCTGAGAGCGATCTAGGGTCCTGTCCTTTCCCGCCGTCCGTAGCACTGAAGCTTGCGCGTCGCCAGTGGTTGGTCAAGCCCGGCCGCGGAGGAGGCTGACAAGCACTGCAGGACGTCGGGCAGGGGGAGGTGCCAGTCGAGTGCGAGGAGCTCTGCGGGACGGGTCAAACACCGTTGCGAAGAAAGGCCAAGGAGCCAGAACACACCCTTTTTGACCATGATATTCTCCTTGGCCGCTTCTCTCCTGCCTACTACTAACTCTTCTTTGTCTCTACGATCGGGTTGCTCGCTTGTGGAGCTCGAGGGACAGCGCTTCCCGGACTCACGGGCACGCCACACGTGGACACCCAATACAAGTTAACCACGACGTCGCGGAGGAGATAGACGTGTCTGCGTGAGTGGGAGCGTAGGTGTGCTGCTGACGCGAGGAGCGAGCCAGGCAGAGAGAGGAAAAGGAGCAGATGGAATTGGTAGTGAGAAGGCGACATGCGAGCGGGAACATGCTGATCCAGCCGTAGGGAGGGGGGAAGTAAGAACGAGAAAGGTGTGGAGGTAGGCAGAGGGGAGGGAGCCAGGAACAGAGCAAACGGCTCGTGTGCTGCGCTGGTGGAGCGGTTGCGATTGCGGGAGGGGTGAACCAAGTCAGGAGGAGACGCGGTCGACCGGGTTTGCGCGTCAGTCAGCACATCGGGACAGACAATCAGAAGGGGTATAACAAATCTGAGGATGGGAACTGCTCCCGATGGACAAAGCAATTAATATTGTTAGAAGCCACTGGCATGACAAGGGTGACGCGTCCCTCGCTTACATAAGCAGGTCCTGTATATACAGTTGCGGCGCCTGTCCCACAAATATGTACCACACGCTGTTACAAAAAACCCTGCTGCAATGATAACGATGAGGATGGCATACTCCTTCTGGAACAACATCATGCTGAGTTAAGGGTTTGCAGCGGGATGAGAGGGTGAGTCGAGCAATCCTGCCGTGCCGAGTCTGACTTACGGGATGGCCAATCTACTGCCGCCTAATATCTGCTTCCGCTGGTCTTCGAGCTTTGCAAGCCAGATTGGGAAGGAGACTAGCTCGCAATGTAGTTGGTCTGCGATGGGAGAGAGGAGAGTCTCCCACCGCACCGGCGAGGGGTGGACCAGATGCAGGTAGTCGTATTCCCCCTTCTCGGATAAAGCGAAATCGTGCATCCCATCCGCGATCTGCGAGCCATCAGCATTCGCGTACTGACCATAATGGGGAAATGTCACGTACAGTCTGAGCAGCCCTTTCAGTCGGTAGCCAGCTCACCTCCCCGTCTAAGACGGGGAGGACCCCCAGCCTCTTCCCACTCTTGACGATCAGCGGCAGAGCCAGTCTGTCGTATTCCCAGCTCCATTCAGCACAGACCCCGCAAGCTGCCCAACGCGCCATATCACCGCTCTCAACCCCTTCTCAGCAGCCGCGAGCATGATCCGCTCGCTTACCCATTTCCCCTGGGCATAGCCAGAGGCACTCGCAACCAGGGGGTCGTCGATCGGTTCCTCGGGTACAGGACGCGGCTCGCTCCAGCGAATGTGCGTTCCGATCGAAGAGGTGAACACGAGTTGAGCGGGCTGGGGACCTCGGGTTCGAAGTGAAAGATCCACGAGCATGCGAGAGGATCGCACGTTGGATTCGAACGCTGAAAGCGGGAGGTTGAAGTCAAGTCGCCAGGCATTGTGGATGATTACCGTAAGGGAGTCACAGAGCTAGACATTGTGAGTGCCAGCGCAGAGGGCTGAAAGAATAATCACCTCGTCATATAACTCCTCGCTGAGGCCGAGATGCTTGGCCGCCGTATCAGTCTCAATCAGCCGCAGCTTGGGCAACTTCAGCAGGTTGATGTCCACACCCCTGTCTTCGAACGCCTCCCGTTGCCCCGCCGCCATTTCATTCTTTGAGCTTGGTCGATTCACAGCGTACACCCGCTTCACCCGCTCATCAAGCAGCAGACTCTGGAGCAGGTACGTGCCTAGCGTGCCTGTAGAACCCGTGAGAAGCACCACTTCTCCCAAAGCCTTCCGCTGCCCTGGCGTATGGGTGGGGAAATCGCGGCTATACTTGTCGATCATGGCCTGCATATTTTTGACGATTTCGGAAGATTTCTCTCCCTCCTCCTTGTCAGACTGTGAGGAAACACCCCCGAGAGCTTTCATCATATATCCCGTGAGACGCTCCACGGTGGGATAGTTGAAGACAAGATTTTGAGGAACGGACGTGGCCGCTACGTCGGACTTTCCTTGAGGTTTCGGAGCCTGGCGAAGTGCATTGGTGATAGCGGCGCGAATGTATGTTGCTTGTAAGCTATTGTGAAAATTTAGGGGTGATAAATTTTAGACAATCTGCATCAGACGAACCTGTCACAACCCTGTTCGAACAAGTCGCGAGACTCTTCGATGGGGGGATGAGCTATGGCCTCGCCGCGCATCACTCCATTCACAACGCGACTGACGAAAGATTCCAATGAAGCTGCATCCCAAGAGGCGGGTGGCTCAGCCCATTCAGCCTTTGTCGGTTGCTCCGCGGCAGTGTACAACGCGTCGATCTGGTTAGCCAGCCTGTGCACTCTTGAGGAATCATATGACATCTTCGAGATAGTACTTACTGCTGAGTTGTCAGATTCCTGTTGATAGAGCCCTTTGGTGTCTTAACAAATGGTGTCTTCTTCGCATCAATAACAAGAACCAGTTCCTTGAAGATTCTTGAGTGCTGTGGTGCAAATGCATTCGCCTTCTCAATATCAGGCCAGATCAGGTCATGAAACTCGGCGAGCTCGGCATCATTCGTGATGCTGACATGCTCAACGGGGTCGATGGCAACTCCGACCTGGGTTCGCTCGCGGCCAAACATCAAGCACGCACGAATGTTAGGGTTTCCGTTCAGGATGCCCTCTGTCGTGAGTGAGCACAGAGTGCATGGCCCAGAGGTATGTGACTAACCCATAGGTCCTGGGTTCGTCTTCTCCCCGTTTGACATCATTATTTGGTCATCAGCACTAGGCAATATGAATCAGTAGAGGGGACAGCAGTCAGGATTGGAGGCTTACCGTCCTGGGATGACTTTCCATAGGTGCTTCCTCGTGGGGTGTTGTTGGAGCAAATCGTTTGTGTCAAACGCTCTGATGCCTGTCACATTCGACACAGCAATTGGATGATGGTCGGAGTCCTGGGAGACAATCACCTATCAGAAATCACTATCCTGGCCACGCGAATGAACTGACGATGATGATAAGTCTGTATAGACCGCTGCCTTCATCCACAAGTTCCACACGCATGTCTGTGCGCAGTTCTCCGTATAATGTCATCATTCAGGATCTCGACGTCTCATCTTCAGCAAAATTGACGTACGCTCCAGTCTTCCGGATGATCTGAAGCCAACCTCATATGAAAGAGCAACCCTACCTCGGTGCTACGAGGCATCAGAAATAGTGACAGTCTCGAGATGCATGCACTTACGTGCCGTACACAATCATGAGGTTCACACCACCTCGAACGAGTCGATCGCCAGCTTCTTGAGCAAGAGGTCCGCCACCATAGGCCTGAGGCATGGTTAACCATATACTATGACATGCCACAAGCGTGCAGGGAGTCATACATACCACACCCTTCATCCTGGCAAGATACTTGATCGCTTGTTCATCATGTGACCAGTCCTGCGGTCTGTCAACATCAATATGAAACCCCACGCATATATGCTGCTCACAACGTAGTAGTTGGGTACGGTTATAAGGAAATCGGCTTCTCCGCGTTTACATCCTCGAAGAACCACGTCAGAGGATGCGATGGGAGGTTGGCTTGTTGGCTTGAACATGATACAAATAGCACCATCTATGATACTTCAGCACGCCAAAGCGAAACCAACTGGCCATACATACAATACGTGCACAGTCCAATCATCAAGAATACGCCCATGGCGTGAAAGACAGGTAGACCCAGTAGACTCCACTTTGTCCCAATCTGGTCTGAGTCGCCTGTCGTTTTGGATGCTGCACGGAAAAACCGATGACTCATTGGGATCGGCTTAGGAAAGCTTGTACTTCCAGAAGAATGAAGGAAGAGAAGAGGGCAGTCTTCGGTCACATATTTATATTCTGGAAGTGATTCGACTGGTGGGATTCTCGGGGTACGCGCGTCGTCCTCCATCGCATCATATGGCATGGGAAGACTGGTGCCGAACCTTGGATACAGCGTGGTGTGCTTTGGAATCCCTAGCAGCTGGACGCTAGGAATGCAAGAAAGAAGTTCCATTGTCGTCTCTTCAAGAGCAGTGGAGGCAGAGGCTGCCCCAGGAATAGAACCAAAGATCGAAGCGGTATTTGTCGTCTTGATCAAGTGTTCAAGGGCTGGCCCCGAGTTGCGTGTACTCAAAGGAAATGCCTTGTTCAAATGACTGAGTTTCGAATACTGCCCCTGTTTGACTGTGTCTACGCACCACAAATCCAGCCCTCAAAATGCCGAGAATAAGTGTGACATACGAATCCGTGTTTGCAAGGATTGCAATCCAAACTCCTTCCTTCCTCAGCTGGTCTGATGCCTTCACCACCATCCTGAGCATCTCTGCTACCCTCAAGGAGGCACGAGCGACTGCCCACATGCTCAGTTAGTCATTGCCAGATGTCGATAGTTCATCTCGTACCTTCAGCCCAGGTGATGGTCACGTTCTCGTCGTTCCCCAAGCCAACGAGAACCGCATAGGAATGGTTGGGATTGTGTTCGAGATGGAAGTCGAGTAATTGAGGAAACGGAAGTGAGCCATCCATTGGCGGAAGAGAGAACTTCATCATATCCTTGGAGTCTGCGGCGACAGAGTGAGGATACGTCTTCTACCGACATCGTGTCAAGTTCTGGGGCCTATTGCTTGTTTCCCGTCCGTTGGGTGGAGAGGGTTGTAGCGTCGGTGCTGTTCGAGTAACGCGCTCTTCGCCCAGTCTTATACGCAACAAATACGACAGTTCATCACAGCGGTCCTAGCCCATACCTGCTATTTGGGGTATAGGGGAGCTCATCTTCTCAGCGATTACAGCTCCGCGTCACCGATAACATCTCCGCACAGGCGATGATAAGTCTGTGAATCCTAATCAGAGATCGCCATTGTGCATAGCACCAGGAGTAGAAGAGAAGGCCGCCCGCGGCATGTCCTCAGAACAATGTTTCATGCTAAACGGGCCCTTTGCGTAGGCCAGCGCAAGTCAGCGGCATTCGTGCTGGCTGTTAACATCTGGATCTCGATTCGGCGACAGAAGCCAGCGTACACTCTGACCGGAGATATAAGTAGAAGCTCCTCCACCATCTCCGCCGTATTTTGATGTGCTTCATTTGTCACCGAGACAGCAGAGGGAATTGCATGGGGGGCAGTAGCTGACCATGGGAAGCAATGTATTCCATTGGCTAGCCATTCCATGGATTCAAAGAAAACTGGACAAATATGTTGAAATGCACAATACCAGCAAGCCACACAAGGACAAAAAAAAACTGCTACCACAGGGGATACCTCAACATATCTTCTATCACCCTGAGTGGTATGACAATGCATACTCTTTCAAAGTGCATCCCTTGATCAAAAGCAATGATGAATGTTGATGGAATATAAGGTAGCAGTCACTCCTGAAGACTTATCATTGGCCAAAACATAATATGCACCAGTGAGTCATCTGGTATTTGATTGAGCTTGTGCTGGAGCATTTTCATTTGGAGATGGACAGGCTGTACCAAGGTAAGTAAGCATATATTGGTGAAGAAATGTGTGCCTGAAAAGACAGTCAGCTTTGGGTGCACCCAAAGTGACCATGGGAAACTTTTGGATGATATATCAAGAACTGCTGGAAGGATGTGTACAGAGTGCAATGCTCTCATTGCCTTTGCTTTCTGCTAGGGCAGAAGAGGAACTTCACATGTTGAACAAGTACATGGATTTGTGCCCACATGAAGTGGATGATGAAACAGACAAGGATGATGGTGCATGTGTTATGGGAGGTGGATACTATGATGCCCCCCAAGGAATTGAGGAGCCTGGAAATACAGCCATGCAGGATCTGGAGGACCTCCTACAGGTGGACTTGACCAAACCTAATCATTGATACTGTACAAGGGGGGAAAACAGGAGGCTGGTTGGAAGAGAGGCATGGTGCATTTCTAGAGTGATCATTGTAGCAGTGGATTATTCTACAGGATTAAGGGGTACTAATTTACTCCTTCCATTGCCTTTTGCTGTCCCCTTGTTTGGCATTGGCCTTGCCCCTGGCAGTTTGCTTTTGCTTTTGCTTTTGCTTTGCATTTGCCTTTGCACTTGGCTTTGGCTTTGGCTTTGGCTTTTCCTGCCTGATCCCAGCATTGATAGTTGATATCTCTTCTTTGTGACTGTCTTCATGGTGACTGTCCTCAGGGTGCATCACATCCTTTTGATCTGATTTCTCTGGTGCTTGCATGTCAAGCCAGAAGTTGTCAAAGAGGTCCTCCCATGTCTCTTCAGGTTCCTTGTCTTTGGATGACTGATAGGAATACCAAGCTGTGTCCAGAGCCTCATCCAGCCATTGATCCTGAATGTGGCTGGGAATGTCCTCCCTGGGCCACTGCCAATCTTGGAAAGAAACTACAGGACAAGGTTATTGAGACTGTGAGAGTTGGGAAATAGATACTTACTGTTCTTGTAACCATGCTTGCATCTGAGGCATGGGTGAGACAACCCTTTCCTTCAACATTCTATGCAAGCAGTGCCTTCCCATCTATAACAGCAGTGTTCTAACCCTCTACAAGGCATAGATTGGTGCTGACACTCATAGCACATATCATGTCTGAAATAGATCTGTGATTCATGAGTAAGGTATCATGGAAAGAAGGTTGAGAATGGACCCAGAAATGAAATGGGAAGAGGCCTTTGACCCTAACCACATGTGACCGGCAGACTTTGAGGTCGGGAATAAAGTCAACATCTACACTTGGAGGTGGGCAGCGGAGAATGTTGGTATTGATATTGCTGATTGATGTCCAGTGGAGAGGACCACAGCACTCTCAGGATAGAGAACGAGAAGAGGTTCTTGCTCAGGATCAGGCCTAGCAACATGTTGGGAGAGTGAGATAATGCCTTCATAGATTTCTTCCTGGGAGGATGGTTAGCCAGCAGATTCAAGATCTGCCATCATTGCATCCGTGAGGAATGGACAGACATCAAAAGAACTGTTGGTCATGAAATCCTTGATGGATTCAATAATGACATGTGGTAGGCCTTCCAAGGTGAATGGCCATTCTTCAAGATCATATTTGAGATGGGCTGTAGCAGCATGCCTGAGGACATCACACAGAATCAGGGTGAAGAGGGGAGTGAAGGGGGAATTGAAAAGCTGGCAATGGAGTAGAGGATCAACCTAGAATAGAGGTCAGATAAATTAGGGAAAAATGCACAATGAGAAGACTGACAAAATAGGCCTGAATCTTGGCTATCCGGTTAGCAAACTGATGAGGACGGTTGTCAGGTTTGGGGGAAAAGGGTATGACCTTGCAGAGCACACCTATATATTCAGTGGAGTATACCTTTCAGCTATGGTACCAAGGCTGCCAGATTTGCATTGACACAGTACTTCAGTCAGAGTCCAGTCTGGACCAAATGACTCATTGACTTCCTCAAGGTACTTGATGTTGACATGCAAAGAAAATTCAAGCTTCCAGGTCCATATATTGACAAGATTGCAAGCAAGGGGCCCATGCATTTGTAGCCATGTGGGTTTTTTCCCCTGGTGAATCAAGTGAAAGTAGGTAGACTGTAATGAAGATGAGGGGAAGAAAAATTGGTGGAATTGGAAAGACATACCATCCACTTGCACCAGTTGTTTACACCATGTACTGCATTGACTATGTTGAGCATGAGAAGCACACCATTGTGCCCACGTCATCCAACTGGCTGCTCCGAATGCACGATACCATGTTTGGAAATTGCGGAGGCAAACGACCCCTATCGATCAAACATTCCACTAATCTACTCGGGCTCACACTGTCAATTCTGGCTCAATCTCTGAATGCCTCTGCCTGGACCGAGCTGCTAATACCGGCATCGAGACAATCCAATATGCGATAGCCTTGCCCTGCATACATTGATTGCCCTGCCTCACCCAGTAGCAGGATGTACGCCGCAGATGATGCAGGGACGGGTCGACCCTCACCACCGATACGGCCGGACTGATGAACGGCTTGCTCCCCGACAAACCCCGCCCATCGCGGCCAATCTACCCTCCTCGCCAGCGCCAGCATCCCGCTGCATGTCGTCACCCTACTTTTACTCCAAACATGAGTCACGCAGAGATTGACCAGTCAACATCGACTTCTCAACTTTCGACGTACACCTGCACATCGATCTTCGCGGACGGTCTTCCAACCCACATCCTACTCGGTGCTTGGACAAAGTTCTACTTTACGATCAGCGCTGACAAGCGAGAGGTTCGAAGGAGTGCAAGTACATGGGAGAAGGATGGTCGAGTGGAGTGGACGGACAAAGAGGGGTTCAAGCTGTGCGTCCTTCTCAGGTCATTCCCCTTGTCTGTGTTGACCACCGGTGCAGTACATGTTCAGCCGAAGCTGACGTGGAAGTCATGCTGTGGAGGGAGCATACACTCCGTGCGGCTGAAGCAGCAAGTGCTCGATACGATGTTCCAGGGTGACTTCAAATGTGAGCAAAGAGCGTTGAAAAATCAACGAACAGGTAGATGTCTTACACGTTTACACCAACAGAACGTGACGTGCAAACGATGTCCCCCCAACCGGCAGACACTGGGGACCACATGTCCCCGAACATTTCCTATCGAATACCGGCGCTTCGCATTCAAACAGCGCGGTCGTCGTTATCGAACGCTGCACGATAGAACAACCCCCATGATATCAATTCCAGCCGCTCCTGTATGGCCCAACGACACATGGACGCCGCCTTCGACAATTCGGGAAAGGTGGGCCCTGCGACACGAGCTCAAGCGTGAGATTGAGCTCCTGCGCATTGAACACATGAGGATCGACACAGCGTATAAGCTCCGATTGAACCTGCTCTGTGCGCAGTATGAAAGCGATCCTGGCCAAGCGCGTTCAGAAGCACCGCCGGTTCTGGTCTTTAGCCGGGATCTCCACACTTCCCAACGAACTACTGTGCGATATCATTCTCATCGCAACGGAACAAAGTGATTTCATGTCGAAGATGACACGCGAATTCGCGGCCCCGCTCGTTTGCCGTCGATGGAGCGACGTGTGTGCGACGATGCCTCAGCTTTGGTCTACTCTTGTAATCTCGGACACTCTGCGGCATTCGACTTGCGACTCTGTTGGAACGCAGCGTTGGTCTAACATTGTGAAACAGCTTCCAAAATTGCTTTCCCGGAGCCAGGGAGCGCCTGTAACGCTCCGATTAACTACCCGGGACCTGGATGCGCAACCGATTATTCCAACGGTCTTTGCTACCTTACAAACGCCGCTTGCTTCTATTCGTTCGGTGGTCATCCAATTATCAGCATCCTATGTCCGCGACGTATCGAAATCTATTGCTACGTCACTTCCTGTCCTGGAGTCTCTTTCTATTCATAACGCAAGAAGGTTCGAGCTCCAGTACACTCCCGCGGACCCACTGCCGTTCCCACATGTCCTACACTCGACTAAGTTGAAGAGTCTCACCGTCACGCAGCTCTCTGTCCTAACGGACACTCAAGGCAACAGTATATTCTACCGTCTGACTTCTCTAAAACTGGCGGATCGGACCGAAATTGTTGAATCAGAGGCAATAAAGGACGAATCACATATACAATGGATAGAACGAGTCAGTCCTGATCAGGCTCTATCGGCAGTACGAGAAATGGCGAGGATGCGGGTCGACCTTCGCATCCTCAAGACAACGCCAACGCTTCAAAGCCTCGAAGTTACTCTTCCCCTCAACCTCCTACACTGGGAATATATCAAGTTGGAACACCTTCATACTCTTACGTTGACATTGGCCGGTGGTGTTCGTGACCAGGGCGAGGAAATGAATCTCCATTCCTTCATTCAGACCATAGGCGCGCCGACCCTTCGAGTATTAAATATCTGCCGACAGTATGGGACGAACGCTGATTTTCTCCCACGGGTCCTCTCCATACTCCATTCTCTCACGACTCTCTGTCTGAGTGGTTTCCGCATCCAGCCTGATGCGTTAGAGAGAACATTACGAGCGGCTCCACTAGTTCAGGAGCTCCATCTGTCTGAATGCGTGGTAACCTCGGCCATGTTGGCTGTCCTCAACCCTAGCTTGCAGGTGGTTTGCCCTGCACTTCGAAGTCTGAAGGTCGACTTATGGTTCAGCCCATGGACTAACAGTCACGATGATTTCTACCAAGAAGATCTGTTGGACTTGGTTCGATCTAGGGCGGAAAATGCAATGCTGGGACGTTGTCGTAAGCTTCAAGGAATAACTATCCGGGTACGTTTACAACGTCGAGTCCGAAACCCCGTTGACCTGACACTTCAGGGATTGAGTCGTCGGCCTAATTCCCACAAGTTGTTGGATGAAGATATTCTGGAAGCCATGCAAGAACACGTACACGAGATATATTTATGTCCTTACTCGCGTAGCTAGGGGATAAGAATCACAGCAACATCACATTTCCCATGTTTTGGTCCTATTATATAATCTTTGCATGTGTCAGACTTGCCATCGTAGGACAGACGCACCTTTTCGCGTCCTCACCCCGACGACCACCAGAGGATGGCTTGCCCAGCAACATCCGCATGAACCACTCCATTTCTGTCGTGGAGAACAGGACCACCTTCACCTATCGTAATCATCGCCGCTGCTATTCTCCTCTAGTCGCGAGTTCTGCCAGACCTGTTCAGAAGACGAAATTACGAATATGGGCGGGAAGATGAACTCGAGCGGGTCATGCGCGAGCTGTGCTCAGTTGACAGCGAGGGCAACAACGTGCTTCCGGTACCGACAGGGAACAAGGTGTCGAGTGTACGTTTATCCCAGACTGATCTTCATTCTACTTATCCAGTCCGCAGGTGCCAATTCACCCAACCTCGTAGTCACTCCACGTCTCCTGCCGCGAGCCTCCTCCCCTTCCTCACCGGCTCCATCCTGGATCTCCATCGCGTCTTCCCTCTCAGCTTCATGGCATCCAAGGATTCATTGACGCTGGCCATCCTCAGCGGAGGTCAAGTGCTGATGAGCAAGCTGGGCGTTGCGGTGGAGTGGATTCTATGAACGGACCACCGCTCGCATAACCTTCTTTCGCAACCCCATTCGTCATCTCGCGAAAGGCAATGTTCTCGCCCACCACGCCCAATTTGTCCGACTGGGGATGTAGCTTCGCAGTCCGCGAGGGCGTTGGCCAGAGTGCACATTCTGCCGCCCGATTCGCAATGACAACCTCCCAGCTCACGCCGAGTCTTCACACCTGTAGCTGCGGAAGAAGATATATCGATACTTGCGAACAGCATACAAAACGGATTAGTTCCCTTCTCCATATGATATTCTGCAGGCCCAGCCTTGCGCCTTCTGGTTCCACGCATTCGATCTTTTCAAGCTCCCATGCCAGGTCATCGATCTCGAGCAGAACTTCGGAAAGGCCTAGTCTCATTGCTTGCCGCCACTAGAGTGCTTCCATGAGCGGTTTGTTGACATTCAAAGGCCGAATGAGGCACAATCGCTTCAGGTCCTGCTAAGGATGGACCTCGGCGGGGTCCTCGAATTGGAGCATCGCGTCTGGCAGATTGTTCCACTGGTCGAAGGTGAGCTCTTGGACGGGCGGGTAGCTGCGTGAGGATGGTTGAGAGATAAGGGTGCACAACGCATGAGATCAGTGCAAGATCAGTGATATTGGGATGGGCGGCCGGTGTAAGTACCCTGGGTGAGTCGTTATAGTGCTTGCGCCGGGGGGTTTCAAGGATAAGACTAGTCAGATCGGGAAAATCCGGCTGAATAGAGACGTAGGAGAGCGTTGCGGGAAGAAATCCGTCAATGGCGAGAGCTCTGGAGAATGGAATGGGATAGGCGGTCTAGCATCTGTGGTAAAGGTCATCGATGGGGTGGATATCGACGTCGCCACAGAACAAAACCTTCTTCAGATTCGGGCTCTTAGAGATAACGTCAAGGCACTCGTCAAGGTGCGCTTGAGTATGATCCGTAGCACAATTCGCTTAAATCCAGCTCTCGCAATTCGCATGGAGCATCTATCACACAAGTAGCTAAATCTCTTTGAATAGAGGCGTTGGACGGGCCGGTGTCTGCCCTCGGAAGATGTCGAAGACTGTCGCATTCTCCGTCGTTGGGTGACGCTCGTTGCCAGGCAGCGGGAGTTCAGCGTGCGTGATTTAGGCGATGCCTGGTCCAGGACAGTAACCAACAGCCGCACATCCCAATCTGATTTTGCTGTGACACAAATCGACCGCCGGTGCTTCATCGGCGGCAGGAAGGTCATTACCGCGCGGAGATCGTCCGTCTGTTCATAGCGCTGTCATAATGAACAGAGGTACCGCTGGCTGTCTTTTGGTGTGACAGTCATCAATGTCCACGGGACACAATTTCGTACGAGAGCTGAAGCATTGTGCACGAGGAATTCGGATCGTCCACAACCTTATCCCCAGATACGCCTCCAAAGCGTCGGCATAGACAGTGCAACTTCTCTGTGCAGCTGCGGTTAGATTGAATGACAGCGCAATCCATACTACTCACCGAAACTGAGTGTTCACGTGAGAGAGGCAAACAATACTTTTCCACACCGGGATTGTGACTCGTCGGAGACGGGTAAAATGTAGTCAAGTAGGAATCGTCGTCGTTCGCCAAGGTGAAAATATGTTTCAACATATCGTGCAGCATCTTGGTCAGATTCATTCTACCACACTCTCTCAGTAGGCGACCTCCACACGTCATCCACGAAGGCTCCTTTGTGGGAGAGATCACCGGTGATGTTGTTGACGGTTTCGCAGGGCCACTTGTGGTTGCTTCCTGAAATTTCGGGGAGAATACCGTGTTCTCCTGAGTTACTGTCGCACAGAGCATAGGAGAGAGAGAGCGGCCCCAAACAAAAGAGATTAAAGAAGATGTTCTTGAACTGAACGGCCTCATTTGATCCGCAGGCCCTGATCCTGACCAAACAGGCTAGGCACCCTGGTAGGGTGTGGAGGCTTGCGATTCTCACGGGAAAGAGCAAGGCTCAATCTGGCTTCTCCCCTGAGCGTCCCCTTATTTCGATATCGAGTGATTGTGTCACTGCATTCGCTAAACATGTGCGTTTTTCGTTTGCTGTTGTATGGTTCTCGCCTTCCGAAGGATGGAGAGTGATAGCCCTCTTGCCTGGCTGATATCACACGACTTCCTCTGGGTGATCGGGGAGGAGTTTCCTGCCTGGTCTGAGTAATGAGGAACAGGATTACCCGGTCGTGAGACAACATGGGTCGAGGCGAATCGGGAGGATCTAGCACTTGCGATGGAATTACTTGGAGCGTGCGTGCTACGAGGCCCTTCCGAAACTGGTTCGCATGTGTTCGCTCCATATCCTCTAGAACGGTCGTCTTTGACGAATCGGGGAGGAAGAGGAGATTGAGAGGCGCAACGGGCGAAGGGGAGTAGTTTGGGTGGGAAAGGGGGAATTGGGAGGCTTCGATGTTCAAGGGTCGGTTGTAGAACGGGTTGGAGTATTCTTGCCGCATGCCTCGGCTAAGGGTGGGGATGAGCGTGCGGAGAGCAAATAAGGCAACACGTACAATACTTGGAAGATCGTCTTATCCCCATTAGTGAACTCAAACCCCCCAGTAACCTCTTCCACTGATGTTATCGTTGGTGCTGGACACATCCCTTGGGCGGATAGATCGGATGTTAATATTAATGACGTAAAGATAGCGCTTCTTATTGCTCCCACCACTTTCACATGTTTTGTCCCTGGGCTTATCGATCACTTGTCACTCAAAAGTCAACATGGGTTACAATCAGTGGCGCATATATCATGCTGGATCAGTCACAGGCGTATCAGTATTACCTTTCATTTGACAACAGAACAGGTGCTGGATCACTATCCCTCTCTGACTTTCTGACCTCCCACCTGTGCAAGTGCGTTCAGCTCGCTAGCTCTTCCATCCCATCGTCACATCGACAATACCTCATTCTCGTCGCTGTCCCTGTGCTTGTTGTCATCATCATTCTCCGTCTATTGGAGTCAGATCCCACTTCTGCACTGAACACCATCCAGGATACAGCAGTGAAGCGATGTATCCCCTCCCCAGTATGCAAACAACGCCTGCCCTATTCGTATGATCCCTCATTTGTCATGGATAGGACGAACCCTGAAGTATACATAGCGCCATGAGCCGTTGAGAAGAAGCACGATTGTGTTGGTAGCGCGTGCAGGCACGATCATGTGCCGCAACTGCACCTGGGAGAGGGATTGACAGGGGGATGAACGAATGGCGGAGGAATTGATGGCCCGGTACTCACCGCGTCCATGCCGCCTTTCAGAAGTCGGAGGTCTTGGTACGCGTTGAAACTCCATAACATACTCGAACACTCTTGATATAAATAGTACAAGGCAATGGGCTGGGGGTGGGGGGGGG